CCCCTCTTGTCCAACCTCCCCTCTCCCTTCCCAACTCGACCCAGCGGGAACCTCAATGGCGGGGGCAATCCGGCAGCTCCTCAGCCCTTTTTCCTCCCCTGACACCGGCAGAAAGCAACCGTGGGCATCTCGGACCCGTGCGTGTGTCCTTGTGACAAATGCTCCTTGCACCCTGCCTCCCTCATGCCGCCAGGAAACAGCCACCTTATCGCACGATCCACACCACTGCTGCTGCCTCCACCTCTACATGGTCTCCCACCATCCTGTCCACACGGTCCCCACCTCTCTGCCATGGACAAATGCTTCCCCCTCCCCTCCCACACAGCCCCCTCTCCGGGCCTGGCGTCCCCCTGACCCAGTCCCTGCGGCGGCGGCTCCCCAAACGCAGGTTGAACGTGCGGGTCCCCTCCAGCGGCTCCCAGGTCCTGGCCACGACCTACGTGGTTCAAGACCCGCAAGTGCCCAGCCTTTTGCTCTGCCTCACGAGCAGTGCCCGAGACATGAATCACCAGACTCGGCAGCTCAGACCACTGAAGTATATTTTTTATCGAATTCCTCACGCCCGCCACGGTGGACTTGCTGTGTTTGTTTGCAGCACGCTTCGCTTCCTCGCCCATCCAGATGTGCTGTACCTGCAGCTGGTGGCCCATCTCACCTGGCAGGCAGATGTGGGGCTGCGAGTGCCAGAATTAGCCTCGGGACAAAAAAAGCCTTGTGTGACCTCGACGGGAGGGGAGTTTTACTGCTCGGGCACAGCAGGATCCACATCTGAAGAAAACAGGGTGACTTTATTCACATCTTCTATATCCTCCCTTTCCCTCCTCCCACAGCCCTGAGCGTGACGGAGGGATGGCGAGGTGTATGTGTGTGTAGCCACGCATACATGTTTTGGGTCTGTTTCTATAGGGAATAGACAGAATGGAAAGTTTATCTCCGGGAGTCTGGGGAGGAAGGAAGTTGTGTATGGATGAATGGCTTTTCCATGACAAACAATGAGTCTGCACAGACATGGTGTGATGTCACCTAAAGAATTTCCAAGCCAGCCTCAGACACAGAAAACCTTCTCGCTGGCAGAGAAGACAGCGTCCCACCTTTCCATATCACCACAGCCAGAAGGAAGAACTAGGGCAGGGGAAAAAAAAAAAGCCCTCCCTGTCTCACACAAGGCATACACCATGTAAATAGATGACACGATGGGAGACATGTATCTCCAAGCTTCGCCCTCACCAAGTCTCCTCACGGATTCTGAGAAAGGAGTAAACCATGGCGAGCCGCCCTGGTGCCTCTCCCAGCCAGGAATGTGAGACGGCACCAGCCGATGAGGCACTTCCACAAATACGGGTGATGTCAATGTCCGTGTTTGTGTGAGCTTCTCTGGGCGCATGTGCAGAGCTGCAGCACTCCAACAAGGATGTACCACCACGCAGTCCTGGACCAGTGGTCCACCTCTGGCACTGCAGCATCGTGGAAATGAAAACTTTTCCAGCTGGTAAAGTCTGGGAGATGCTCACAGGAAACTCCATCCAGAAACACATGGCATTAATTAAATACTTCATTTTAAGTACTAATATTCAAAGGCAGCTGATGATTAACAACAGCAAAGTGTTGTGAGTACTGCTCGTAGCAACTCAACCTCCAAAAAGCACCAGCAAGGCAATGATCTTATTTTGAAACACGAGCCACAAAAATTGCCGTACAGGATAAGATCGCTTATCCAACCAATCTAATACCCTGTCAAAGGCAGCAACTAAAGGAGATGCTTCAGCAGGGAGCACAAAACTAAAATTCCTAAACAACTCACAGACTAAAAATTTTTCACTCAAGCAAATGCATTTGTTTCCAAAGACAAGTACGTTGGGAAAGTTTAGCCGTCATGAATTTTCCCTAAATTCTGCTGCTGGTGAGAGAAACTGCCATTGAGTCACGATGTGAATTATGGACATGAGTCCTTTTTAATGTGCTGGAAATAATTTTGTCACTGGCTGTGTTTATGACTTCAGATAAAGTGCTAATAGCAGGTGAGGCATTGTTGGAGGGATTTAGCCTCAGCCAGCAACTTGCAGACCGAAAGCTGCAAAGCACTTGGCCAGTGGTCCAAAGAATACAATCCCTCTTCCTTGTACCTGTTTCTACTTGCCACCAAAATCTTGAAAGCGAGCTTTTGATTTTGTAAATAAAAAGCTTGGGTGGTTGTTTTTTTTAAGCCCAAACAGCTTTGGCAAAGTAGCTTGCTAAAGCAGAGCCGGGTGGAAGAAGTCGGTGGAATTTTGTAAGGACGAGAGGTGGGGTGAAGAGGGGCCGCTGGAGGGCTGGGATGAATGGAGCCAGTGAGGCGTCAGGTAAGAGACGGGAGTAAGGAGCTGCTGGCAGTTAATCCCGAATGACCGACTGGGATGCCAGGAAAGTCATCAGAATTTGGGTGGTTCAGGGGAAGAAGGCTAGGAGTGAGCAGAACTTTGGGATGGCTCCATACGAGTGACATCAAGGGGTCACTACACCAACAGGTATAAGGGAGGCCCTGGAGAAAGCCGGTCTCGACCACTCTTCTGTTCCCTGGCTAACCCCTGTCTCAAATCCAGGAGGACCCAACCTCACCCCAGGCAGACCCACCCCTCCTGGCCATCACCCCTGTCCACTCCCCACCACCCAAGTGACTCCCATTTTTGTCCCAAACCATCCCTTCCCTGCAGCAGCCCACTCACACCAACTCACACCACTCCTGCTACAGGAAGGGGCAGTAGAAAGAACACTGAAACGGAGTGCTGCTCTTGCTTCTGCTGGAAAAGGCCCTATCCCACCCCTTCGAGTGGGCCTGGGTCACTCAAACAGCAGCACTGAAGCCATACTGTGGCCCTGAGTGCTGATGCTTTCACCCAGACTGCTGAGCATCACCTGGGTCGAAAAGGGAGCTGACAACTGAAAACGGGACACGAATCTCAACCTTCAGATTAAAGGTCTCGTGCTCCCTTCTTAGGGCTAGCTGCTCCCTTCTTACAGGGAAAAACAGCGGCAGCAAGCCTGCGTCTTCAGAAAGCCTTGGCATTCTGTTGCACTCAACAGTCTGCTGCCCGAGGCAACTGGCTACTGTGTTGCCTGCCTGCCTAAAATTAGTACCTGTGATCGCCTTTGTTCGATTTTCAGAGGTGACAACTGTGCACGAAGCACAAATTTACACATCGAGTTCCCAAAGTCACAGCGGAGCAGCTGGAGAGCTATCACCGCTTGCCCAATACCGTCCCTGCCGCGTCTGCTGGAGGGAAGCTGCACGACTCCAAGAAAGAAGGGGAGGTCACATCCATGAGATCATTTGCAAAGATTTGGCAGACCATGAAAAAAGTTGAACTCTGGCTGGAAGACAGCCCTGATAAATGAGAAAAGGAGTTAACTCATGCAAACTCCTTGTCCTACCCTTACTGTTTTCCAAAAGTTTGGGATGCCCCCAAGTGTGACACAGATCTTTATCAAGTGCTACAAGGAGTGCTGAAATAATATCTAAGTCTCTTTCCACGTAACTTCAGTGATCCTCCTTTCTGCATCTTGTCCAGTTTCTCCCAGACTGGAGGGAACTGGAAAACATTCTTGATCAAGAGCCTCTTTCAAGTTCCTGTTTATCCTTGCAACTTGACTGTGGTTCAATGCCTCGCAACGTCCAGTGCATCCAGAAACATTTATTGCTCTCTCTGACATTAGACACTTACTCAAGATGGGAAAAAAACATTCACTGAAGTAGAGTCTCCTCTACTTAAGGAGCCAGTAGAGACGCATTCACCTGGGAAGGAGGGTTTACTTGCGCTGCTCAAAGGGGAATCCCTGCCTGCTGGTTCTGTGCCATGGACCTGCTGGTTGATGGCACCAAGAGATATACCATAACGTTCTGTTATACATCTGCTTCTGGCAGCCAGGCTTGGTTTTAACCACAGTTCTTACTAAGACTTTAGGAATCTCATTAAAGTCACATACCTGCCCATTCAGCTGAACCAGTTTTAGAGGGAGTGTAGCTTAAAAAAAAAAAGAAAGAAAAAAGTCCCTTGAAGCTAAATCGAAGCCCTCACACAGAAACCTAAATCATCTTTTAGCCCACCACCCCCCACTCATTCGGTGCTGTGCTGCTCCCCTGCTGCCGACCTGTTACTCCCTCAGCACCGTACCGCCATGCTGCTGTACTGGCGTCAACCTTCCCAGATCTAAACGTGTTATTTTATTTGTATTGTGATTATTACTTAAACAGTAACTGGAGTGACCTCCATAGGTCCAGATCTAGCTGATGTGTTACAGAAGGTGTAATAAAACCTTCTCAAAGCATCCCAGCAAATCAACCCTCTGTGTCCACCTCTTTTGTCTTGACATTGCCTTGCCTTGTTGAATTGTTACGCGCTGTCTGGCTCCACTGGAAGGGCAGATTATTCCTGCCTATGTCCTGCTTGTTTCTTTTGCTACTTACACACTCGGTTTTATCTCCTGATGTGCTCATGTGCTACCTTTTTCTGCATCTCATCACCTGTCACCCCTGCTGACAGATCCAGATTTCTTTTCACCACTACCTTGCTCTTTCATTTTTCCATGACTCCCCTGGCCAATGACATCCAGTCTCACTGTCACCAGGGCATGTAGTGCAAGATATACCTGCCAGTCTCAGCAGACCCAGTGACAGCCGTCCCTGAAGTGCCTCACCAAGGAGACCAAGAATGGAGGAAGGTTGCAAGCAAAGCAGAAGTATTAGGCAAAAAGAGAGAGGCCAGATCCTAAATATTTTCACCATATAAAACCAGAACAGATAAAAAGGATGGTGATTCTATGAATAAAACAGGTTTGCATTAGCAAAAAGATACAGAATTTATGTGAATCCTTATGAACGCTGTCATTTATGCCACAATATTTCACATGACAGGCAACGAGCTCACCTGGAGCAACACCATTTCACCCGCGACAAAAAAAAGAAGCGAACTCCAAGGTTAAACCTGGACATGACCCTCCTCCCTCTCAAGGTGATTCAATGGTAGTTGTACTCTTGCAGCAGATTAAATCCCAGCGTTGAGCCAACCTGGTCCACTGAGACCACATGTCCCACAGAAAAGTGCAAGAGACTCAGCAGCAACCTGTGGAGCACCTGCAGAAGCTGTGTGTGCAGAAACAAAATCAATTTCAATTTTTCAAAATCAAGAAGGAAGAGATATAGAACCATCCCTGCAGGTACATGGCTGCCTGGAAACCTTCCATATTTCCAATATTCCCAGGGACAGAACCAGGCCATCTGGTTCCCTTTTCCACAGGAACTCTGTTTGTATGTTGGTGACCTCAGTCGAGAGCCAGAGACCTGAACCAGGACATGTCTGGCCCAAATGTTGCGCATCTTGTTCCCACAACTACTAGAATACCAGGGTTTCTGGGGCTACAGCAAATTGTCCTTAATCACAAACTGAAACCTTCTTAGCATCCTTTTTTTATGTAAGCAAG